AATATATTTTACAGAAATAACATTTTTATGGATTTATTAATCATCATAAATTATCATTCGTTAATTATTATTCTATTTTTTGTTTGTTTTTTTTCTTTTTTTTTTTTGGTTATTTTTACAAATTCATGTATATCACTCTTAGAATTTTTTTCTTTTTTTTTTTTATGACGGGAACATCTTGAAATGAATTTTGTTTACATTTTTTTAATTTCAATTTATGATACTATATAATTGTCAAATTGAATACTAGGAATTTTAGAAGAAAAAAAGAAAAATTCAATGTGTTACGTTTATTATTATGTTAAAATGTTAAAATACATTTGAAAGTGTCAAGTGGGTCTCACGTTACATTCTAATTTATTACACATCTCTTTCTTCATCATTTTTACGTAAGACGATTAATTAATTAATTAGCGTAATTACACTTGAAGATCATGTTTTTTTTTGTTTTGTTTTTTTTTTTAATGGTTTATCTTGTTGGTTAATCTTTATTTTATTTTATTTTATTTTATTTATATTTTTCTTTCATTGTATTTTCTCTTACTAACCTCACTTTTTTTCGTTTTTTTTTTAATTATTTTCTTTTTAAAACGTCAGGCTTTCTTTTTTCTTTTTTTTTTTTATTTATTTTCTTTTACAAACGCCATGTTTCTTTTTCTTTTTGTTCCTTTTTTCTTTTATTTATTTTCTTTTACATACGCCATGTTTCTTTTTTCTTTTATTTATTTTCTTTTAAATACGCCATGTTACTTTTTTCTTTTATTTATTTTCTTTTACAAACGCCATGTTTCATTTTCTTTTTGTTCCTTTTTTCTTTAATTTATTTTCTTTTACAAACGCCATGTTTCTTTTTTCTTTAATTTATTTTCTTTTACAAACGCCATGTTTCTTTTTCTTTTTTTTTTCTTTTATATTTTTTTTCTTTTCTTCTATTTATTTTCTTTTACAAACGCCATGTCTTTTTTTCTTTAATTTATTTTCTTTTATAAACGCCATGTTTTTTTTCCTTTATTTATTTTGTTTTACAAACGCCACGTTTTTTTTTCTCTTACAAACGCCATGTTTTTTTTTATCTTTTTGTTTTCATCCTTTTTATTTATTTTCTTTTACAAACGTCACGTTTTTTAACCCTTTATTTATTTTCCTTTACAAACGCCATGTTTTTTCTGCCTTTTGTTTTTATTCTTTTTTATTTATTTTCTTTTATTTATTTTCTTTTACAAACGCCATGTTTTTCCCCCCCTTTTTCTTTTCTTTTATTCATTTTTTTTATTGTTAACGTACAATTCTTTATAATTTATTTGAAATACTTTTGTTTCACGATTTCTCGGTTTTCAATGAGAATAATTTGTATATTTCTTTTTTTTTTATCTTCTCATTACGATCACATTTAATCGTATAATTAAATAATTAATTTCATACACACGTAATATTCATAAAACAGCAACACACAATATCATTGCAATCTATACTTTTACACATTGTACCACTATTATACATAGTTGCGAAATTACGTATGGCAGTATCCAATTACGTTCGTAGTATGAAATAGCATATGTGCTCGTTAGGAAATATAAAACTTCTTCAAGTCTAATTTTAAATTATGAAGATTATATATTCTTAAAGGAAAAACAGTTTTTGTTGTGTTGTGTTGTGTGTGTGTGTGTGTTTTTTTTTTTTTAACATTTATTCTACTTCATATTTTTCTTTTTATTTTCTTTTTCTTTTCTATACAAATAAAAAATTCCCTAGACACGTAGTTTATTATTGCACCAACGTGTACACTCTATAATAAAAATAAATATTTACGAAGCAATAGAACCAAAAAAAAAATGGCATCGGAAGAGGAAGAATTTTATTTTTGAATTGTAAAAAAAAAAAAAAAATAATGACTTCGAGAGTGGAAAAATTTATTATTTAAAAGTCATTGATCAAATAATAGAATGGAATGATAATGATGATAGCATTTTTTTTTGCTTTTTTTGTTTTTTATGTGATTAGAATTATAAATTTTTAATTCATGAAGTAAATCAATTCGAACAATTTCGAATTTAATTGTCAGATTAATTTATAGAATTTTTTTACGTATATTGTTGGTAACTGTGGAAAATTTTATTTGTTTCTTTTTTTTTTTTTTTTAATAATAATTAAATTTTAAACATTAAATTTTCTAACTCAGCACACTTCACTCCATTTACAACTGCTAATTTCATATCCTTTACTCTTGCTACACCAGCGCCATTCTGGAAGCTTTTTGAACTATTATTTATAGCATACGCTGGACACATTTTCAACTTGTTCCCTTACACAAGACGACCCTCCTTACTTCTACCCTCCATATATGGAGGATAGAGGTAAGAAGTATTATCTGTATATATGAAAAGTGTCCGTTGAAATGCATTCAATTAGGGGTGGCGCCACAGTAGCTTGAGGATAAATTTTAAATGAAGCGCCAAATATTATTAGAGTAAGATTGAGAAATAAACAAGGAACACAAATTTCACAACACAACATTTTACCCATAACTCTTTTGTTATTATTCACATACTTTTTCATCAAATTAAATGATGAAAAATCAATAAACGTACTATATACAGTTCTCGAAATAAAATCACTCTAGCTATCACGTTTTCTCATAATAATTCTTTAAAGTTATATTTACAACATTATTTTGTACTACGCAAGTTGTTGAAATTTTCAATAATTAACTACTTTAGTCGGCAGTAATATTCAATTTTTTAACTCGGCATACTTCAAATTCGTTTACAATTGCTACATTCATATCATACCTTTTGTCTACACCAGCGCCATTCTGGAAGCTTTGTGAACTATTATTTATAGCATACGCTGGACACTTTTTCACATTTTCTCCCATAAGAGATGTTACTCCTTACCTCTACCCCCCGTACTCGACATACTTCAATTCGTTTACAATTGCTACATTCATACCATACCTTTTGTCTACATCAGCGCCATTCTGGAAACTTTTTGAACTATTATTTATAGCATACGCTGAACATTTTTTCAAATTTTCTCCCATAAGAGATGTTACTCCTTATCTCTACCCCCCGTACTCGGCATACTTCAATTCGTTTACAATTGCTACATTCATACCATACCAAGTGTCTACACCAGCGCCATTCTGGAAGCTTTGTGAACTATTATTTATAGCACACGCTGGACACTTTTTCAAATTTTCTCCCATAAGAGATGATACTCCTTATCCTCTACTAAATGTTTTCTTTTATTTTTTTTCAAATAGGATTGCTTTAATATAATACATTGATATGAGAAAGATAAACAAAATAATTTGTTATTATATTAAATATTAATTTAATAAATGTCATGACAAATACATTTATCTCGTAATTTGACTTGAAAGAACGAACACCGCTTATTAAATCATACATATACAAATAATCTGCATATACAAATGCAAATTAGTGTAATACTTGTCAATCCAATTCTCGATAGCCAATTAAACTTTCAAATGGTTTGTTTAATAAGAAAAAGGTAAAAAAAAAAAAAAGAAAAATAATTAAACACGACATTTGAGTATTTTTTTTCTTTTTCTTTTTCTCAAAGTGGGTTTATCTCCATGTGAAAAGTTGAACGAAGTTTTTCACATGGAATATTTCTTAATACTTTTTTTTTCCAATCCCCCCACCACTACTCTTTTTAAAAACTCGTTGCAAAAATCATTGATGCAAAAATAATATATACATGTATATATAGAAAGGGCTGATTTATTAAAGTTTAACCTTGAGAAACTCAGGAAACGAGTTAATAACATTTATGAAAGAAGTTTTTTCATTGGTTCCCCATTGTTAACAGGCAAATCTAATTGACGATACTAACAACGATTATGTCTTTATGAAACATCGACATTGATGTTTCAATCTTCATTTTCTTCTTGCTTTTTTCTTTTTCTTAATTTTTTTTCTTTTTTTTTTTATTCAAGGTAGACACATACACATACACATACATATACATATTAAAATGATAACACTAATGGGAAGATAGAAACATTTATTTTTCTTATCGTACATGTATATATATATATATATATATATTTCAAATTAATAAAATCAAAATAGAAACTAAAAAAAATTTTTTAAATTAAAAAAATTAAGAAAATAATTAAAAATATAATTTAAAAAATCCTATAATAATAATAATAATAATAAATTATTATATATATTTAATATTTAAATAAGGAATAAAAACAATCCAAAAAAAAATAATCACACATATAATATATAACAAATAATTATTAATATTTGTAATAAATAAATTACAAAAATATATAACAAATTATTAAATACATTTATCGAATAAAAATATAAAGGAAGAAAAATACAAAAATAATAAATAAACATAGACGGATGTAATGGATTAAAGAATTCAATAAAGGTCGTTTGGTTAGCAGTGCTGGATAAGAGCTCATAGATACGTGCTATTGTTCTCGTCACTTGACTCAATTAGACGGTCAATCGGTGTTACGTAACACGTAAAATATTCGCCTACCTAATAATGTTCAACGTTATTGCTAGATAGCAGAGACCTAGCGATTAAACACCCCTACCTTGAACAACGATTTAGCCAATGAATGAGCGATGTTGTCGACAATACCACACCATTATCATCATCACCATAACACTACTAAACCACTAACCACATCACATAACTATATCTCACCAATCATATTTTAGAAACATCTTGGATGGTTTTAAATTGGATTGGATTAACACTTTAATGCACATATTTTGAGTCCCAGTTATTCTTTTATTATTTTTATTAGTTTATAAACCAACATTATATTTATTTCATTTTATTCATTCGAAAAATATAAATTAATGATTATATTTGACGTACGGTGACACAATCAGGTTGAACTAAAAGATACTTTCTAAATAATATATCCATAAATAATTATTCTGATTTATTCATATATCGTAAAAATGGTAATTACAGAGATTTGTTTTTTTTCTTTATAGGTAACTTACCGACATTACAGTCGATAAAGAAGAAAACTCAGCTGGTTATCATCGTTGAGTAAAATTGTCGTATTACCGACAGAGTAATATGATCTCAATGATCGTTGATCCCGTCGAGTAGTTCACGCATGTGACGTTAGAAGGCGTTACAAATCAAACATGGCGGTCCATTGATTGTAAGAAATTCAGTGAAAACACACGTGTGTTTGTTTGATATTACTTTTTTCTTGTTTATAATATAAAAGTTAATTATAAAAATGTTGCGAAGACAAGCACGACTGCGAAGGGAATATCTTTATAGAAAATCCATTCAAGATAAATTAAAAACTATTCAAGAAAAGAAAGATAAGATAAAACGTAGTTTGGATGAAAATATTCCAATACATCCGAATTTAAGGAAAAGTGCATTAACGTTACAACAAAAATTAGAATGGGAAGATTTGGGACCACAATTAGCAGCAACTTTGGGTACAGAAGGAGGAGGAACTGGACTTTCCAATGAGGATGATGAATATCGTTGGGCAGGTGTTGAAAATCCTAAAATTGTGATCACCACTTCTCGAGATCCTAGTTCAAGACTGAAAATGTTTGTAAAAGAATTACGTTTGATATTTCCTAATTCTCAAAGAATGAATCGTGGTAATTACGAAATGAAACAATTAATACATGCGTGTTGTTCAAACGATGTAACAGATTTTATTATCGTCCATGAACACAGAGGTATTCCTGATACTCTTGTAATATGTCATTTACCTTATGGACCAACAGCATCCTTTACAATATCAGATGTAATAATGCGACACGACATACCAGATATAGGAACCATGTCTGAGGAATATCCACACTTGATTTTCCATAATTTTAAAACTAAATTAGGTAACAGAGTTGTAAACATTCTCAAATATTTATTCCCAGTTCCAAAAGAAGATAGCAAAAGAATCATTACATTTGCTAATCATGATGATTACATATGTTTCCGTCATCATACTTACAAAAGAGTTGGTGTAAAAGATATTGAATTGAAAGAAGTTGGACCAAGGTTTCAATTAAAATTATATCAAATCAAATTAGGAACGTTAGACACTGGATCTGCTGCTGATACGGAATGGGCATTGAGACCTTATATGAATACATCGCACAAAAGAAGATTTTTATCTGATGATGATGGTTGGCAACAAGAAGATGAATTTTAATTGTTACATATTTATATTAAATAAAATAAAAATTAGGCTAAACAGATTATACTATATTTACAGTATTTAATGACTGTACATATGATTCATTTTTAATAAAAAAAAGAATAAAAAGACCCTCCATTTTATTTCATATTAAATAAGTCATAGTTAATAATTTTTAAATATTAATCTTACAAAGATGAATGTATTATAAAGTGAGATTTAAATAGCGCGCCAAAATCGAACGCTATATGATGCACGTAGTTTCCTTCAATAAATCATTATTAATAATTTGTTAATATAAATGTAATAAATTTTTAATAATAATCTTACAAAGATGAATGTATTATAAAATGAGATTCAAATAGCGCGCCAAAATGGAACGCTAATTGACATGCGCGTAGTTTCCTTCGCACTTGTTTTTAAAAACAAGCGTTAGTAAATAATCTTGCTCGTATATAATAGGATTAATCGTAAAAATAGTTAAAAAATAAAATCTTTAATATAATATTAAGTTTAATTTTAATTAACACGATGCAAAGAAATATTCGAAAACCCGCGAAATCGAAAGAGTTGTCGTGGCGCAAGAAGCATTCGAAGATTTCCGATCAAAAGGCAGATGCAATGGATGTGTTCGTGTCGCCTAAACGTCAAAAGAGTGACGGTGAGAGATATTAATGTATCATATTAAAAATCATCAAGTAGATCAAATGCTTGTTCGCAAATATTGCTTGCAGTATTAAGCACGATATACGTGCATGGTGTATTACATTAAGCTACTTTATTCTTGCAATATTTACCAAAACTCGTATTTTTGGTTAGTTGCGCTTTTGTATGCAATGGAATGTAAATAAACTAAAAAGTGGTGTATGGTCATTTCGTGGTTAAATATTTGTCATATTTTACATCAAATATGACAAATAATAATAATAAATTAGAATGAAATTAAAGATGTGCATTTATAGGTTATGAATAACATCAATATTATAGTATACATATATATATATATATATATATGAAAGTTTTGGTAGTATAGCTTTAACATTCATTGATTATAACTCAAAATAGATTAATAATTTTGTACATCTAATTTTAGAGAGTGTTAGGTTAATAATATTCATATTTCTAATTAACATAAATTGAAAATATATACAAACGAAGTACCTTAACACCCTTAGTATTTAGTAGTTTTGATCATTAGTAAAGTAGTGATAGTTGTGAACGTAATTCATTGATCATAAATTCATAGTTTGATATATGCCATTAAATTATTTTGAACTATTTTCTTTTCTTGGCAAGGTGCAGTCTGCTTTATATTTCAGATCTAGAGGTCACAGGGATATCCCGAAGTGGCCGAGTAAGAAAGAAATCATCAAAGCTCGTTGATTTTGAATCACCCGATGACTTCACCGATAACAAATACAAACGACAAAAGGCGCAGTTGCAGGCAGCACAATTGTTGGAACGTTATGAGTCTTCACATCACATTTCACCAAGTCAAGTTCAACAAACTCATGCTGCAAGACAAAGGAAGAATTCAGGATCTCATTCAGGACAACAAAGAGTTAAACAGGATACTATATCTGATAATGAAGGTCAGTCATCTGCATCAGACTCTGATGATCCCACTGGGTTGAACGAAGAAGACCGGTACAGTATAGATTCTGGAAGTGATGATGATCCAGATCCTTTGATGATCGATGACAGAGAGACAGGATTTAGGAAATTAGAGCCACCAGGTCAGGAAACACCTTCTCAAGCGAATAGTTTGTATATGCTTGAAAAATGTAAAAAGAAATTAATTATTAAGGATGGCAAAATAATAGGTAGAATGAAGGCCCAACGTAAGGACAAAGGGGTACGTAAACAAAAAAAAAAAAAAAAAAAAAGAAGTGAATGTCAATGTTAGATATGTCAACGTTTAAATTGGTCATTTTTACAGAAAACAAGATTTACCGCTTATATGTTGTGGGCTAAAGAAATTAGGCAGGAATTATTGGAACAATGTCCTTACATGGGTACGCATATGCTTCTTTTTCTTAGGTTTTGTTCTTTTCTTTTATTGTTTTATTGATTTGTTGCTTTTTATAGATTTCGCTGCAATTTCTAAACGATTAGGTGAACTTTGGGCAACAGTGCCAAACCTGGAGAAATATAATTGGCGTAGACGTGCCAAACGTTTAGCAGCAAAGCCTAATTCAATGTCTTCTTCTACTACCAATAAAGATGAGTCGGTTTGGAAAATGCCACCGCCTGCTTCGCGAAAAAAATTCATTAATAAAATTGGTGGGTCGATTCATATTTCCAAATGAATCATTTGTTTTTTTTTTTTTTTTAAATTAAATATAACATTGGTGTTAATGAAGTTGTTTTTAAATTTATGTGCTAGACGACTCATCTTAATCCGCTTTATTTGCACGTGCATTAGTTAAACAATTGTTGAATCGAATTCTTATTTGTAGCATAGAGTTGAATTATATTTAATAGATATATCAAACTATGAGTATTTTCTACATGTATATAATATTAATATATGTATATATGTATATATGTATGTATATAATTTATTTGTGTGTTTTCTATTACAGGTAATGGAAAAGAAAGTAAACCAATTTCTTCGAAAAAAACTCTTCAATTAGGAGTACCTTCTGTTATAGGAAATGTGCCTATTTCACCACCAACGAATAAAGGTGCTAAAGATTTGATTAACGAGCCAGTAATAGGTACAGGAATGTACAAAGTGATTGGAACTCAACCGATTGATGTCGCAGCACATCTTAAACTACTTGGTGAAAGTTTAACCATTATCGGTGAACGTTTGAAAGAACATGACGGTCAAATAGCAGTTTCCGGTAGTTTATCTGTATTATTAGACTCATTACTCTGTGCATTAGGTCCTTTAATTTGTCTTACACAACAAGTATCAGAAATCAATGGAGCTCAACCTGAAACATTAACGCAAATGCTTGACAATATCGCATATCTTATGCCTGGTTTGTAATATAAATGCTAAATGGGATAAACACACACATATAGAAATTAATTAAATATAAATATAAATTTGTTATACATTTCTTTAGTTTTCAATAAAAATAGAGAGATATATATATACATGTAATATGTAATATGTGTATGTATATATATAAAGAGAGAGAGAAATGCATAAAATGTGTTTTGAATGTACAAATGAAAAATGTAATCACTTTATATATGAAAACATTTTTTATCATGTACAATGAAAACAATGATACAAGACACAATCATAATTATAAATTTAAACAATAATTTTGTTATACTTATAAATAATTCAATTATTAAATTTGAATTATATCATCGTTATGTTAATTATCAGTTTTGAGAATATCATCTCATGGGGAAGAAGGAAAATATATTTACATGAATGATATATTATATATATATATATTATATATATATATATGTGTATAAAATTATAAATAAATACTTATACATATAAATCTATTATAAATAACTGTACAAAGTAAAAATATTGAAAGCCTAATTAATATGATGTAACAGGTGGACAAATACAAAACAAATTTTTGTCTCCGTACGTATCATCTATTCGACCAATACTTGGCCAAATTTTATTGCTCTTCTTTACAAATGGCTGAAATATAAACAATTAATTAGAATCTTTTTCAAAATGATAAATTTATTTCAAAAAGTAATATACTTACTGCAGGAAAAGCAGCTGTTTCTCGAGAATATGGCAAATTCCAGTTATTCCTTATAACTTGTAATTCCGTATGAGGTGCATTTTTTAAAGGATTTTTCTCAATGTCGAATTTGCCAGTTTCAATATTATTAATTTCACTTTTAATTGCTGCAAAAATGTACATTAAATGTTTGTAATATTTTCAATATTATATTAATAATAATTATAAATGGCCAATGTATTATAGAAAGCATTGTGTACACATTTTATAAATTAACCAAAATTTATATATATTAATGACCATGTGTAGACAGTTTTAAATTTTCATTATTTGTTTCATTTACAAAAGCACATATAGATTAACCAAACAATGTATACAATTCCCATAACAAAATATTGACCATAACATAAATATAATTACTTACAAATGAGTGCATCACAGAATCTATCTAATTCAGCTTTGTCTTCAGATTCTGTTGGTTCTATCATTAAAGTTCCTGCTACAGGCCAACTCATGGTAGGAGCATGAAAACCATAATCCATTAATCTTTTAGCTATGTCTACTGCTTCAATATTTGCAGTCTTTTTAAAGTCTCTTACATCCAAGATAAATTCATGAGCAACTAATCCTGTTTTACCTTTATACAACGTTTTATAATGCTTTTCTAATCTCTTACTCATATAATTTGCATTAAGAATAGCAACTTGGGTTGCTTTACGTAAACCTTTTGGTCCCATCATTTTAATATAAGCCCATGAGATTGGTAATATAGCGGATGAACCAAAAGGTGCTGCTGATACTGCACCAGATTCTCTTAAATTTTGTAAATCGTTGTTTGTTGAATTAATCACCGGATGATTTGGAAGAAAAGATGCAAGATGTTTCTTTCTGTAATTATATATAAATATATAATTATGATAGATTACAAAATAATAAAACAAATGATCAATTACTTACACACCAATTGGTCCCATACCAGGACCACCACCACCGTGAGGAATACAAAATGTTTTATGTAAATTTAAATGCGATACATCACTGCCATAATCTCCAGGTCGACATAAACCAACTTGAGCATTCATATTTGCACCATCTAAATATACTTGACCACCAGCATTGTGAACTAGCGTACATATATCACCAATAGTATCTTCAAATACTCCATTAGTTGATGGATAAGTTATCATTAAACACGATAAAGTTTCTTGATATTGTTCAATCATTTCTTTCAAATGTCCAACATCAACAGAACCATCCTTGCCTACAAATATTGGTTTAACTTGCATACCAGCCATTTGAGCTGAAGCTGGATTTGTTCCATGAGCAGACACAGGAATCAAACAAACTCGTCTATGTTTATGACCTTTTGATTCGTGATAACATTGTATTGCTCTTAAACCAGCGTATTCACCCTGAGCTCCACTATTTGGTTGAAAACTAATATTATCGTATCCTGTAATAGCACAAAGATCTTGTTCTAATTCTGTAAATAATTGTTGATATCCTTGTGCTTGTTCTATAGGTGCAAAAGGATGTAAATCTGTGAATCCACGTAAACTACATGGCATCATTTCAGTCGTTGAATTTAATTTCATTGTACATGAACCCTGTTAATGAACACATCATTAAATCACTTGATATATTTACATATTATTTCACATTTGAATACTTACTAAAGGAATCATACTGTGTACAAGAGATACATCCTTATTTTCCAAATATTTCATATATCTTACTATTCTAGTTTCAGAATGATGACTTTTAAATACAGGATGTTGTAAATATAAAGAAGTACGTTTAAAAGGTGAATTCTCTAAAGATTGATCATTTAAAGAATTAGATTGAATTATTTCTTCTACTGTCACGTTTGTAGAAAAAATGTTGAACAAATCATTCACATCTTGTATCGTAGTTGTCTCATCGAGAGATATACCAATCGAATTATCCGAGAAGTATCTAAGAAAATATCAATACTTTAAAAAATGATCTATGAAAAATATGAAAAAACAAAAAAATATATATATATATATATATATTTACCTTAAATTAATTTTAGCTTTAGCAGCATTGTCTTTTAAAATATTTAATGGAATATTTGGTAATACTTGTATGGTATCAAAAAAATACTCATTGTTTATCTTATGTCCGGCAGATTGTAAACCTTTAGCAAGAACTAATGTTAAATGATGTACTCTCGAAGCAATATTTTTGATTCCTTCAGGACCATGATAAACTGCATACATTGCTGACATATTTGCTAACAATGCTTGAGCTGTACAAATGTTACTAGTAGCTCTATCTCGTTTGATATGTTGTTCACGTGTTTGTAGAGTCAAACGGTATGCATCTTGACCATTACAATCTCTCGTAACTCCGATCATTCTACCAGGCATTAAACGTACATATTTCTTTTTACAGGCAAAAAATCCTGCATGAGGACCACCATATCCAAGTGGTACACCAAATCTTTGACTTGTTCCAACGCATACGTCTACAGAAAATATTTCTGGTGGATTAATCAGAGCTAATGCTAATAAATCACTAGCAGCACAAACAAGGGTCTGAAAATATAATAATAATAAATAGTACTGTATAATTTAGAAATGATTTTGTGTAGATTTCAAGAAATTCGTTTGATACACTTACACCATCAGCTTGAGCTCTTTTTGTAAGTTCAGTAAAATCATAAATGGATCCAGTTGTATCAGGATATTGCAGAAGAATACCAGATATATCTTTTTTACTAGTATCAACATCAAATATGTTTCCAATTTCTAATTCAAGACCAAGGGAAGTAGCACGAGTTGCAATAACACCAATCGTTTGTGGATGTACTTTATCAGATACAAATAATTTCTTTCTTTTATTCTGCCTATAGGCAAGACCCAAAGCTTCAGCTGCAGCAGTACCTTCATCCAAAAGAGATGCATTTGCCATTTCCATTCCAGTCAAATCGCAAATCATAGTTTGGTAATTTAATAAGCCTTCTAATCTACCCTGTGCAATTTCTGGCTGATAAGGTGTATATTGTGTGGTCCTGTAATAAATTCTTTTCTTTTATTGTTATATATGTATATATATATTATTATTGTATTGTTTAAATGATAATTCATTTACCATCCAGGATTTTCAAAAATATTTCTCATTATGGTATGTGGTACACAACAGTTGTGATAACCCATACCAATGTAAGAACGATATACTTGATTTTTTTCCGAAATTTTTGTTATTCTTTTAATTAATTCATATTCAGCTGTATAACAAATATATATTACATTATTATAATATTACAATGTTAAATTAATCATTAAATAATACAATATAAATGTATGTAATAAGAACATTAAATTGAATCATATTTTAAGTGTAACATTATGTTGAAAGAATCACGTGAACGTTAAACTTAAATCACGAGATTGACCTATGACTTTAGATAAGCTGCGTGTATGATATAAAAAAAAACCCCCGTTAAATTCCATTCAAATCATATATATGCTTTATGTATATAATATATATATATATATATAATATGTATTATTAAAAATATTCATTTATAAAACAATTAGTATAATCAAAATAAAAATATACTTTAAATGTGATTCTATCAACAACAACAACAACAAAATGTTTCTGCATAAACATGCATAAAGATTATTGTATTATCAGTAGTCTCGTGAATTGTCACGTTTTATACAGTTATTTTTACAGATAAAATTCACATGCAGATTTAATACGAGCGACAACAGAATAATCCAAAATTACTCACTAATTGGTTGTTCAATATTTAAATCTTTGTTATGAAGAATATGATCTGGTATGGCAGTTTTTGTTAATTCTTCTAAATTCTAAAATATAATTATTTGTTAATAATTATAATATTATAATAAAATTGAAGATAATCTTACCGTGAAGCCAATGGTTTGCAACATTTTAGTTAATTCGTATTCTCTAGGTCCAATATGTCTATTTTGAAATTCATCTTTTTGTGGAAGTAATTTTTCAATATTTGTTGTTGTACTATTGTTATATTTATGTATATACAATGGTATTTTTTGATATTTATGCAGTTGTTTTGAACACTGCATTATTCTCAATGTAGAATACATTGTAATATTTAAGTACTATTATTCTTAAGTATGTGATTTTATTAAGAATACCAAATGGTTTGAAAGCACTAAGAAGAATGACTACAGAAAAGAGAATTTATACTGTGAAAAACTTGGTATCAAATGATGTCACAATCATTGATTACAACATGAACTGTTTTTAACCTTCAGTTATAAATCATTTACACAATAATATTATTTTTTATAATATTCTGTATTTATCTTTTAGATGAAAACGTAAATAAGATTTTTTTTATTTTTTTTTTTTTTTTTATTTAAAAAAAATTGTCTTAAACTTTAACGTTTAACGTTTATTGCAATATCAAAATAAAAACATATTTGTCTATACTTTGTTAACTTACGTCAGTAAACGAATAATATTTAGAAGAATAAATAATAAATTTATTCTTCCATTTTATCTACGATTACAGTATGATGATACAATTATTATTATTATTATTATTATATATTTTTACTTTACGAAATAGTAATAAAATTAAAATACTTAAATGGATTTAAGATTCAAGGGACATAATGAACATAATAAATAGATAAGTAATAAATAAGATTTACTTCATATATTTATCTTTATTTTGTGTTAGAATCTTAGCAGATGATTTAGCATCCAAAAATAGTGTGCCTACTTCTTCTATATCTTCCCTTTTAATATTTGGACGCTCATTAATTTTAGCAGTCAATGCTGCAGGTGTTAAAAGTTGTACTACGTATCGTAGAGTTGTTCTTGTTCCTAATTCACTAAGAGTAGTTAACGCATCATCATCTATTTGTAATCCTTCAGTAGTTGCTCGTAATTTAACTATTTGTTCAATTTCTTCTCTTGAATATGGTAACGTGCGTATAATAAGTAATCGATCCAATAAATCTAAAGGTATTCCATGTGGAGATATTATATCAGTGGTTCCTCTAATCTCACAATGGCCACGATTTGTCGCAAATATAACAATTGGTGCTATAGCACTTTCTAAGGCACGATGAAGATAAGTAAATGTTTCAATATCTAACATATGAACTTCATCTATAAATAATACTCCTGGTACTAATTCAGCAATTCCTTGATCGATAAATCTGTTCACTACTTTATTTATTTCTTTACGCAATTTATCTATAAAAAAAACGAACAAACAAACGTGTACATTAGTAAAAATAATGTTTTAACAATTGTTTTAGTTTAATGTATTGATTAAACAAAGTTTACCTGTTATCTCTGTTTTCTTTGGTTTCATAAGTTGTCCCATCATCGACATTATATCTTGTCCACCTTGTGGTTTAGCATTTGCAACATCTAAATCATGTAATGTTACATCTTGAATGACCTCTTTCTTTTTATGAACATCTCCTTTTGGTAATGGAACATATTCTTCAGCTTCCAAATCAAATTCAGTTGCAAAGTTATCACTTCTACCTTGTCTCTTTACAGCACCGCTGTTTACTTCGATGTAAATTACATCACCAGTTTCTACTTTCTCTTTTAATAGAGATTCATATATTGAAGGATCAAGTTTTAATTGTTTAGTACCCTTAGCTGTTTTCAAACCGATAACAACATGAGATACTGTTTTCCCATAACCACCCATAGGATTCTCAGTTTCTATTGGTGTCAATTCAGTAACCTCTCCTTCATAAACTTCTTTAGTTTCTTTGATTCTCAAACCGATAGCTCTTCGAAAGTTTTCCATGAGTACTTCTGTCTTTTTAATCTCTGAACTGTAAACTTCAGATCCTACCATTGGACAAAATGGTACTTTGTTACCAAGTTCTTGAGCAATGGCCAAAGCAATTGCAGTTTTACCGGTACCAGGTGGACCAGCTAACAAAACTGCACGACCAGCCATTTTTTTGGATTTAATCATGTCAACTACAATTCCAGCTGCCTATAAAGCAACAAAATAATAGTATGTCAATTTATTTATAATATAATTTGTAATATTATTGTAAAAGCATGTTTATAGTAATGAATGCAACTATTAGGTGGACCGAAAAGTAATGTCGTTTCAACAAATGTCAAATTTTGTATATTTTTATCAAAAAACCGATTGATTTGTATCAATTTGATATTAAAAATTTGCATACTAGATGAAGAAAGATTGTTGATAACAAAGTTGATTATGTTATTAATTAAAAGCATAAATTTGTTCGAAATTTATTCGTGTGAATTTAAGGTTAGAAAGTGATGTTACTTTCCAGTCCACCTAATATATTTATAAACAATATTAATTTAAAATAGTATTATTTAAAAATGATATAAATATTAATAAGAAAAAATGTTAACCTCACGAGCCAATTCTTGGCCAACGAGACCAGCAGCAGATTGAATTGCAATACCATTTTCGTCCAAACCTAACCCTTTAATATGCGTATGAGCAGAAATTCTCTGTGTTTTTGCAGTACTTTTAACTTCTTCGATCTTCATAATGCCAATAACTTTATTTATATCAGAATTAACAAATATTTCACAAAATCAATCACACGTGTTTGTATCAGGCTGTACTAACTGCGTTGTTTGGTATCACCTATAGTGATGCTGCAAAGCTATATGCACGTTTGATCGTTATAGCCTAACTTTTTAACAATGTTTCTATTTCTTATTAAAAAATAATAGTTGCTATGGTAACACAAATAATAGAAAAATAATACAAATAAAAAATATGATTCTGATGTTAATGTTTAAAGTATGATTATTATTGCTTTTTTATATTATTTTATATTTTAAATGTTTATAATATAGATGACGCTTTTGTTTGATTTCTGTACACATAGATGGCGTGACGAATAATATCTTTCTCGCTAGTACATAAAATCAAGTATTTCAGTATAAATATCTGGAAAGGTTCAATGGTGTTTGGGGTCTGATGCACCTGGGAAAAATTGCCTATTGCCTTTCGCCTGTTTTCCGATCGCCGCATTATATACATTAAGTTTGGTGAGGCCCAAATCCTTTGCCCTTGGTGCGACTTTGACCCTTTTGCTTCCAAATTCAACATTTCTTTTTTTTTTTTTTTTTTTGAATTTTTGTATCTATCTAGTAATTTATTTTGTATAGTAATTTATTTTGAAAGAAGGTTAATTATACAAAATTCTTGTAAACTGTATAACGTTTTTTTTATTTATACAAAATTAATTACACTTTATACAGAGGTTTTCTTTCTTCTAATGCAAGTTCCGAGGTAACATTTTGTATATCTTTCATCTAAAAATAATATAATTAAATATATAATATATAATATATATATAAATCACATTATAGGTTAAACAATAAGGAGGTACCTTGACATGAGCATACAAAATAATTCCAGTCAATGTCAAAGTTATTCCAATGACTTGATTCATCGCTAAAGTTTCATGAAATACAATAGCTCCACCCAAAAGTAAAAGACAGAATTTGGAATGTCCCACCATATTATATCTAAGTTTTAAATGAAGGTGTATACAATATCATACTAAGAATTTGTTACAATTACAACTGTTACAAAGGATACGTTAAAGGTGAGGTTTGTCCTATTATCCAATACGATGTTAGATTTACAAAAAATGCAACTATGCCAGAAGATATAACCATGAACTGAAATGAACAAATGGTCAATGAAATATATTATTATTATAATAGGTATCTATAATATTAATATAAGCTTATACTATGTCCCAAAATGTCCAATTGTAACTGAGGGTCTGTCCAACAGGTTCCAACAATGGTACAACAATAAGCAACATAATTGCTGATAAGGGTGCTTGATAATACAACAATTGCATAGGATCCATTTGAAATTCTTTTTGTTTTCTGTTAATTAACTAAAACAGAAATATACAAGAGGTTTATATCTGGATAAAATTCTAGCATGCTTTAAATATCAATATAGATGCAATTACATTTACTTGAAACGAACGACTAAAATCAAACCAACATTCATTTGGTCTAATAGTTATTTAAAAACACAGCTGGAATAATGATTTCTTTTTAAATAAATAAATAAATAATTAAAAAAAAGAAAAAGAACAAATGTGTTATCGTTAAGTACTTTCAATAGATATACAATTCTTCCAACTGTGATTAAAGTTCCATCCGGTAAAGATGATTCTATTTAACTTAAATCTCTTTGTTGCTCGCTATTTATCTAATACTACAAATTTGATATTAAAAATATATCGTACAACTTGATATAAAGATGTCACAAATACTCCCAAGGTTGCATAAACCGTTCCAATGACATTAAATTGTATGTCATAATAAAAATTCATTATAACGCCAATAATGATTGGAATTAATGTCAATTTAACAAATATGCTGAAGTGTTTTTTATAAAATAATATTTGCATAAAAATAATGCAAGGGGTTGTTAGCATTTTAGCCACTTGATACGTTCCAACTGTATTATGAGCGAGACTTAAATTTGTTAATACAACAAATCCACAAAATGTAACTGCAATAAATAACATCTCTCTAATATCAATATCCTTGACACAAAAGACATACATTCTTTGACAAATGAGTAAACCGATAAAGGTAATAATAAAATGTATCATTGACAATGTAATATTAGGAAATTTAGTATGAATATACAGCCACTTATTTAGTAATACGATAACAATGGAAAAGAAAATATTTAATGTCAAATAAAATGCGGTGATAGCTTTTTTATTCATCTTGACACACCACTTATTATACTTTTAAAACAATGTCACAATTAAAATCAATTAAATTTGTAATATTCTTAAATGATATCTTAAATCAACTGAATATGCCGGTAACATTATTAATTAAAATCAATCGTATCTGCATGCGGATACTGTCAAGCACAAATCATGTGCTATATTTTTAACTTGATTAAAATTGAAATTCAAATTGATAGAAACACCCTCTTGTGTTATTTTTACAAAACGTTTATTTATATATAATACAAACAAATATATATATATATATTCAAAAATATTATAAATTTGTATTTAATTTCAGTACATTTACCAAGTTTTTCATTAATATTCATATTTATTATAAATTATTCATTTGAGTAAAGTTCATTTACATGTATACATTTACTTCATCATTCAAATGTGATTGGTCGAAAAAATAACCAATCTCGTTTCGTTTTAAGTACAAAATGTGTCAGTCATATATGTTACCGGATAATAACCGCGTTCGATACCCGCTAAAATTTGTCTGCGAATGTTGTGATGTTCATTAAAAGATAAAGATATTTATTGTGTGTTTCAAATTAAAATATGGTAGAATATTCTTTAGGATATCGAGAAGTTGTTCCAGATCAAACTTTACATACGAAATGGAAGGAAATTATTTTGAGTACGGGTAAGTGTACATAACCTTAAACAATAGCTCATATCAATGACATGTATATTTATCAAAAATTCAATGTAAAAATTGACACAAGCAACAAAACGATTAATTTACATATTTAATACTATTATTTATACACGATTATTGTATATTATAAATGATTGTTTGAAAAATTTGTCAACGAGTTCACCTAACCACAATGTTTCATGCTTACCCGGCATCATTTGATTTGAAATGTTTCTTGAATGAAATAATACAAATGATATTGTTTTTTTAGGTGGAAGTCAAAGCACTTTACAAGATATAAAAGTACCAGAAAGAGCTGGCGGTTATTCATACAAAAATGATTCCAAATATTTCACACGTAATCGTTTTATTTATTGGAGAATTTCCCACGATGTACTTGAATTAGTCGAACAGAGTTTGGACGTCAATCTTGTTAAAAATAGAGTGAGATATAAATTCACAGGCACTCCTATCTTAGATGGTATTTCTATCCATGAAACAGTTAATTCTGTTATCATATTGGTGGTAACAGTTTCCAGTGTACATAAACTTTCATTCTCTCATCCAGATAAAATTCATAAACAGGTACAAATTTACTGGTTTATATTTTTGATTGTATTAATCATCTATATTTGACAACCAATTTGTTTTTGTAGGAACAAGAACATCATGCAGATGTTAACGTTCAATCAATATTCAGTGAAGCCAGTGCACAAAGTGCACGCGAGTCTAATACATTTCATCAAATAACTAGTGCTGGAAATACAAGTAAACAAATATTGTTGTTATTATCGAAGCTAAAATATCGTTCTCATTGATAAATATACATTTTGATTTATTTTCACAGATGCTCCAGTGTCACATGCAGCAACATCTTGGTTAACGTTACAAGATGAAGCATTATTTGCACTTGCTTACAACTCAGGAACAATATTACTTGTAAGACTGGACACAGTTACAGGTCTTGTACATACACATGATTTAAAACAAGATTCCATAGTGCCAAGATTTCTAAGCGGTATAGCTACCGCTTTCAGAGGTCGTAATTCTGAAGCCAATGTTGCTATTTCACTCGTTATGCATACTTATGGAAATGATACGTATTTATTTGCTTTATGTCGAGACGGCAATATACGTATGTGGTCTTGCAACAAAAATCAATGTATAGCAGTAACTAATACTGCTATTGATAATAATATTGCTTCTCAAGGAATTCAAGGCCATGTGTTAAGAAAAAGTTTGAATTCTAATAACGAATTATATTTAGGAACATTTTTGAAGTTTGGAACAAGTTGTGAATTTAGTATTCTTAAGCCTGTTCAAGAAAATGGTGTATTTAAATTTATCAGGCTATGTACTTTGTTTGCACCAGATGTATGTATTGAATATTGTTCATATATTTTTGTTTGATTATTAATTAATAATTAATATAATTATTTACAGCAACACCTGGTAGATTTTTCATTTACCAATACACATTTGTGGGCTGTATGGAGAACAAAAGACATGGATAGCGTTGCTGTAACTCATGCCCATTTACCAACAAATGAAAAGCATATCAATTCTGAATGGGAAACAGTGATTTTAGAACAACCACCAGATAGAGATTATATACTAAGTGATCCTGGTACAGATCCTAGACAAGCTTACATTAGTTACATTTTTCACCCAGGACAATTTTCTTTGACGGATATTACCAAAGCACTTAGTATCTATAGAAAATCTAATTTCATCGCTGATATAAGATTAACACCAGCAGTGTTAAAGGAACGCGTTTGTGTGGCAGTTGAAGCAGAAATACAAGCAGAAGTTATGGATTACGAATTGACGGATGAAGATTATTTAGAAATTGCTAATCGTTGTTGGTCTAAATTTTATTCGTGTGTTATTCAATATCATGCTAATGGTACTAGACCGGTTGGTTTATTATTGTTACCAAATGTTTTTGGTGTAATTCTGTTAAAAAAATCTTCATTTTCATTACTAAGACCAATGGAAGCTTTAGAGCATTTGATGCTTTGCAATGACAAATCTTATACGTCTCGTTTTAAAACAACACCTATTTTATCGCAAGATGAAGACATTTGTCAAGATTTAATTTCATTAATGGCAAGTTTAGTTATGTTGGAAGAACAATTGTCTGAAGAGCTTAAAACTGGAATAGAAAAAGAATTGTATCATTTGAAAAGTCCAGATTTAATTATTGATGATATGTTATCAAAATTAATGTTGGAACCAGAAGATCCTGTAAGTAATATTTTTGTATGTTTTTATTATCATATTTTTAATAGATTTCTTTGAATTATTTGTAACACTTTATTTTTTTTTTTTTTTTTCCAGTTGTCTAACTACGATTTTCAATCAGAACTTTATCGTAAATTGGCAAACGTAAAAGACATTTCTAGCGCAATGGCTATGTTGTTAGAAGCATTGACATATGATTTAGGACAACCAAATAAATTGCAATTAGAAAATAAAGGACCAAATGCATCGAAAATTTTATTAAATGTCAGTCATCTATTTGGAAGTCAATTGGGTATCTCAGCAATATCAGAAAGCATTGCACAAATTACCCTACTGAGATTTTCCATTTGTAGAAATTTATTAATTTTACAACAATTTGTACAACTTCGGCCAGAATTATTTGATTCAAGATCGTTGCATTCCATTAAATCATCTTTAGCACCAAAAACAGTTGTACTTATGCAAGCATATTACGTTGTCATGTGGATATGCGAATGTACTGCTACTTATTCACCTACACAATCATTGGTGTAAGTATAATGTTATATTAAATAATTTATTAAAAACATAAATTGTTGTATTAATTAAGAAATATTTTAGTGAATCTAGCTCTCAACGTTTATCAATATTATCACTTGCGGATTCAAAAACAAATATTGGACAGAGACAACTTCGATCTTTGTCTCTATTAGAATTATTTATATGTAGTATTGGTGCACAACATGCACACACTTTAATGGTTAATGCAAATATGGATCCTTCTTCTTTAATACCATGGCATTATGGCATGTTAACACATATTACTCTTATAGCACAACTTATGTATCCTTTTTACGTTCATATTGTTTTTATATTATGTTTAATTATTTTTTAATTTTTTTTTTTGGTTGATAAATTAATTGATCATATTTTCTTAACTTGTTTGCTTAGATGGCCAATATCGGAAAATTTTATTTTCCCTGAATGGTTACTTTCTAGTTGTCAGTTTTTATTGGTTCAAGAATACGTTAGACTACTGAACACTTGGTGCGAATGGAACAGCGCATCTAGAAAATTTATATTAGCAATTGCTTTACTAGAAATGGGAGAGACACAGAAAGCTTGCGATCATTTCTTAAGAGCTTCAGGAGGAATTTTAACCGATCCCTTCTTAGCTGACATTTTATTGAGTTCTATTGTAACTTCAGAAAATAATGCTTTAACTCAATACTATCTTAAAGTAATTAAATTGTTTGAAGAACACAATGCAGCAGATTGTATAATTGAACTCACTGAAACAGCCATTTCAGTATCTGATAAAAATGATCCTAATTTGCCAACACTTCATTCTATATTATTTATACAACATCTTAAATTGGGTCATCACACTGAAGCTTATCACTGTTTAAATTCTAATCCTGATGCTGAACGAAGAGTTGATTGTTTGAGACAATTGATTATAACTTTATTTGAAAGAAAAAAATTAATTGACTTAGTATCATTCCCTTATGTTGATATGTACGAAGATTTAGAAAGAATAGTTGAAGGCAGAGCTAGAAGTGTTGATTTAATGGCAAATAATTATTATAATTTCTTATATAGTTTTCATGTAAATAAAGGGAATATGAGGAAAGGTAATTTTTACTTTATAATATACATATATTGAATTTAGGTAATACGATTGACTATGTTATACATTTAAAATATTAAATATATTAATGTTTTATTAATTAACTAATATAAACATTATTTTTACAGCCGCATCTGTGATGTATGAACAATCAATGCGTTTAAGTCAAGAGTCTCATACTGCTCCGATTATATTGAGACAAGCACAATGTTTATTAGCATGTATTAATGCATTACATTTGGTGAGTGAAAAATACAGATGGATCGTTAGACCCGTAATCGAACAAAGTTTCATAGAAGATACAAGTCCCCATAGAAAAAGAAGTATAGAGGGTGAAGAGATATTACATTATAAAATAAAAAAACAGGTTGAAGTTTTGGAATTGGCTGATATTAAGAAAGAATATTATATAGTTGATGCCAAATTGAAATTATCTAAGATGAAATCAGAAACTCATATCATTGCACACGCAAGTAAGATAATTATCAAAATATTTTCTATTAATATATATATATATATAAAAATGGAGTATAATTTTGATTATAAAAATAATTGTGTTAAACATTTATAGGTCCATCTGAACTTATTGTTGTTTTATCGAGCATTGGATTATATACAACTGCTTTACATTTATGTGACATGTTCAAACTACCTAAAAATTCAATATTTGAAAGTTTGACATCTCAATGCATAAGATTATGTCAACATGAAGATCCCAAAGCTTGGGACTGGCTTGTACAAAATGATATCTTTGGTAAATATTAAATTATCATTATAGTTACATTTCTTTCTAATAATAATAATAATAATATTATTGTTTATACAGATATGAGTATAAGTAATTCAAATATTATAAATACTGCGTGGAGTTTGTTAAAATATCTTTTGGAAAAACACGAAAAAGATAGTAGTACTGATCTTCATAAATCTATTTCTCGGAAATTACTTCAAGATGGTGCATTTTTACCAGAATGGTTATTAATGTCGTATAAGGTATTAATATTATAATTTTATATATAACTAGGGGTACCCCGCCACGCGTTGCTGTGGCTCACAATCAGTCCGATACACACGTCTTTAATTAATAAACAAATAATTGGCAATAAAATAATATTGCGATTATAAATTGAGATATAAACTATCCTATCTTTCAAGTTGGATGAAACTGCACACAGTGTGCAAAATTTTATTCAAATCGGTTCAGTAGTTTAGGAGTCCATTGCGTACAAACAACGTGACACGTAATTTATATATATATTAAGATTGTAATTTGTATTTAGTAAATATTGTAATATTAAATACATAAATTACAATTTATAAATTGTAATATAATATTAAATATAATAATAAATTACAATTACAATTAAATTACAAGTAAATTGTACATTATATATTTACATTACAATTGTTAATTGTAATTTATGTATTTAATATTGTATATTTTACATATAATAATATATATTTATACTTTTATATATTAATATTAACGCGTGTTATGATAAAATAACATTAACATTAACAATAATTTACTTTTATTACAGAAAAGAAATTCTGCTGAATTACTTAGACTGATGATAAATACAGGTCGTCTATTGGAAGCATGTCAGTTGGCAGTAGATTACATTAATGCAGTTTTAGGTTGTGGAAAAGAATATTTCGGATTAGAAACTTCATTATTGGCTACTTCTCCACCAGTTTGGTTACCATTTAATACATTGGAAGTTCTATTATTTGAACTTAAACTTGCAAGCGAGGAAGATTTACTTTATGTTGAGGTAATTTCAATTATTATTTTCAATTGTAACAATTTATTATATAATTTTTTTATAAAATTGTCTATTTAAAAATTACAGAGTTATCGAACGTTGCAAGATACGCTGGATAATTACATTAAAATTTTGAACCGTGTTTCAGAAGATATGATACGTATCAAAATGTATAATAAATGTTAACAGTAAGTAATTTTTATATATATATATATATATACATTTTTACAATCACAATTTCATAAAATTTCAAATATTGTATAACATTTTACAAAGAACAGATTCAATATCCTTATTGTCTGAAATTTATTATATCAGTCTTTATTTCTACCAACATTAACAACAACAACAACAAAAATACTCCATAATATATTTTCTTTTTTAAAAAAAAGTAACTAAAAAATGTATCAAGAGTATGTTGGTGGATGATTAAGTGATATTAACGTCACAAATACAAGAATAATTCCAAGAATAGCAGCAACTATTGCAGCAACAATATGTGGACATCTTTTGAATAATACCTGTAATCAAAAATATTCATTTATTTCATTAACAATTACTAAGATAATTTAATATTAATAAAGAAAGATTAAAAAGAAACTTTACCATTAATACAACTACTATGGCAAGTATAAAAATTGAACCGAGTGGTAATAAAAAAGATGTTGTCCAATAATGTCGCTGTATTTCAGCATCTGTAGGATATTAAATAATAATAATAATAATAACAAAGAAATCATTGTAAACTTAAAAGTAACAAATTTTGTATATAGATATATATTCATTAAAATAGATATATAAAATATATTTTACCATTACGCCAATGCGTTTTATAAAAATAATAAACGGGTACATCAGATCTTTTTGTAATATTGAAATCTTTTGTTATTTCAGAAGAAAGCAAACCTTCATTATCCGCAGACTGTTCTTCGTCACTGGTCCTGTTTCCTGTCATGTATATATTGTTAATATCAATGTCTACTTGTCGCTGATATTACACAATAGATATAATAAGAATTTATTAAAAAATTATTATTACATTTTCTAATCACCTTTGTATGTTTTTACCTTGTGACAGCAATAATACAATTTCTTTTATACGTATCATTAATATTATTAATGATTAATTTAATCCATATTCTTAACAAAAAAAAATAACTTAAATTTTATAATAATAATAATTATTATTATTATTATGACTTAAACAAACAAAAAAACAAACAAAATACTTTTTAATATGCTATGTAAATATATATAAAAATGTAATCATATTTTTATAATCCAACATTACTTGTCAATAATGAAAAAAAAAATACATGTTTTTCAAACGATTTTCAATCAAAAGAGATTTGAATTTTGATATAATTCGCGCCAAATAAATGATAGCCAATAATAGTGCAGAAATACAAAACGTCATTACTACGAATTTGATACAAATTTATTTTTAAATTTGTAATCAAAATGTCAAACATGTTAAAATGTGTGATAAATAATTAACAAATGTGAAGAAGTATTTTATAGAAAAATAAATGCATGAATTATATCGAAGTTAAATAAAAATAATAAAAGAAAACAATCGAAGTTATTTATAAACATATTGATATACATATGTACTACTGTAATCAATTTTCAAATGTTTCAATCGTTAATAGTTATTAATTATAATGCATATGAAAAAAATGATATATATATATTTTGATACATGTATAAATATATAGATTACTATTTTAAATGATTTGACCGGACAATTACAATGAAAACTTTAATTGATCTTCATTGGTATTCTTAATAATATAAATTGTGATAATACATACCCAAAAACATCGTAGTATATAAAAATGAAAATGAAGATATTTATAACGATTTCTCTTAATCACAATTTAAATTTTCTCATCTTCATATCAATTCCAGATCCATTGTTCAGCATCCAATAATATGTACATACATACTTTTACTTTTCCTATCTTCTTCTTCTGAGAAGATAAACAAGTTGGATGTTCGATAACTGTTCCAATATAAGAGATAGAAAAATAAGAGTAGGTATGTCGTATCTACAATATGCATGTATCTACATATATATGTGTTAGATATAAATACATATATATATATATACAACAGTGTAATAATTAAATTTGAAACGAAAATCTTGTAAACCACTGCTATTAATAAATTTCACTTGGGATAATAAATATAAATAATATTTTCGAATAATGATAAATGATAAATTATAAAATACAATAATATATATATGTATGTGTGTGTGTGTATAATAGTAAGTTATCTTTGATGAAATTTATCTACTTAATTAATCTTTTTATCTCATTCAAAAAAGATATACTTCAAATGTCATATATAACATATCAATATGGCGTTGATAATAAAAACCGGCTGATTTGTTGATGTTTCATACGTTTAATTGCGGTTCACGAAGAAAAGGTGAAAATGATCAAAATCTCGGCACTTAACGAAGAATCTAGCGAGGAAAGTGAAGAGGAGGATGTGCCTACGATTACTAAAGAAGCTCAAGTAAATAATCTTTAATTGTTTATTTTAATATACCAAGTTAAACATAACCTTAAAATATAATTTCTATATATAATTCATAAATGTTACTTTTATTTTATAATTATCTTTATTTTATATTTTAAAAATGTATTCTTATTTTCTAATTTGTACTTACATTCTATTTGATTTATTTATTAATCATTGCAAAGTGTAGAAAACTTTATCCAGCTTGTAACTATTTAACCATCTGCCATGTGGGTGTATATTGTACAAAAGTATTATGTTTTAATCATAACTTTACATTTTATAATTTAAATTTATATTATTATATTACATTCAAATGTTTACTTGTAAATAATTAAATATACATAACCTTAATTTGTTTTAGGAACAAATAGCACTTACCGAGTACAATAAAGCCTTAGAATTATTAAGAGATAATAAACATAAAGAAGCTTTGAATATTTTTAAGGAGCTTCTAGAAACAGAATTGCTAGATGAAGTTGAGAGACCTGAGGTATCCGATGGCAGATCAAGGCCTATGTTGTCATTAAAATATTCCTGTTACAAAAATATTGGAGCAATTGAAGCCATATGGGGAAATTATGATGCTGCCATAGACAATTATTGGCAGGCTGCTTATTTGGATGATTCCGATGTAATCTTATGGTATAGAATGGGTACCATGGCTATGAAAATTTCAAATTTAGAATTAGCTTGTGCATCTTTTAAACAAGGACTGATATGTAATGCAAATCATTGGCCATGTTTGGATAACATCATAACTGCCCTATACGCTGTTCCAGACTACATGAACTGTCTTTTATATATTTCTTTAGCATTAGAAAGGGATCCAAATTATATTAAAGGTTTAGCTTACAGAGAACAAATTTTCAAATCTATTCCGTGTTTAAAAGAATGTTACAAATTGTATAACAGCGATTGGAGATTAGATCCTCCACTTTATACAGATTACAATCATATGATTGGTGATGAATTATTATTGGAAGCGGAAAAGGTTGCACAAAAATGGGCAGAAGCATGTAAATCAGAGTTTATTCCAAAATCTGTGCCAGAATTAACGTTAAGAAAACCTATAAATAATTATACGTGGCTTGATTTGGGAGAAAGTTTATTAGATATGCACAGATTTATTATAGAAAGTACTTCAAGCTTTGTAAGTCGAATTAAATTAATAGTTAATATGCCTAATGTCGAAGCCATGGATAAAAATGATGAATGTGACGTTCAAGAAACAAATATGGATATGGAAATAGAAGAATTGCAATCTCCAAATGTAAATGTTGTTGCAAGTGATATTGATAAAGATATAAAAATTGATAAAGAAGAGATAATTAATCATGCATTTGAAGGATCTGAAATAAATGATGGATTAAATGATGCATCCAATACAGCGTTAGATGTGGAAATGGAAGAAGATAAAAAATCATGTTCATCGGATATACAAATAATAGAAGATGAAGATCCATTAAGAATTTCAGATTTAGATGTTTTAAATGATGTTTTACAATATGAAGAACCAAATCAAGGAAAAAGCACCGAATTAGATGAACCTGTAATGTCTGAAACTGAGGGTGGTAACAGTGATAAACCTCAAATAGAAAAAACAAAGATAGATCCATACAATACGGATAATGGAATAATCATGGAAAAGTCTAGCGATAGAGAAAGTGACAAATCAAATGATAAGATCTACGACAAGGTTGTTGAAAATTCAGCGGAAGCACCTAAGATCGATGAAAAGTCGAATGAAAAAACTGAAGGAAAGGATGAAGTTCAAAAAGTTAAAAAAAGACGTAGAAGTGCATTGTGTTTTTTACAGCAATGGGCTTGGAGTTGTAGCAGTATGAGAAGATCAGCACGTGTACGTAGTTCAAATCGAAGAGAAGCTGAAAGAGACGACGTTCAATTAGAAGAAACACTTAGAAGAATATTTCCAAGCACGTTATTGTAAAGTCTTTATAATATATATTTTTTGTTTTCTAATATTCAAACAAACTAATATTTTCTAAACTAATTTCTGTTTATTTCTTTTTAGATCAGACACCGTGAAATTAACTAAAGATGATCATTCCAAAAGTATGGATGATACCATGGATACTATGGACGTATATCATTTATTTGTAAATCAAGAAAATAATACAGTCTCAGGAGAAGGAACTAAAAGTTCAGATAGTTCTAAATCACCAAGTCCAGATACAAGGTTAATCATTTATTTGATTCATTATAAAGTAATAACATTATGTTAATGATTATTTTACATATGTTTGTTTATTATTTTAGCCAACAAATCAAATATTTTGGATCAGAATTAGAAAATGTCGATGTCAGTGCATTTATTAACGAATATAGTGGCAAGAACAATTTAATGGTGATCATAGCTAAATTTTGTGAATTCATATGTACAAAGTGGGCTCAAGAATGGCCGAAAAAATTGTCGGATGTATATTTAGAAGCTTATTTATGTACAAGGTATATTAACAAATGATTAAAGGTATTTGTGTATGATGTTAAAATGATTATTATTTTTTATTTTTTTTTTTTTTCTAGACAACATATTCCACATCCATCACCATTCGATGAAGATCTGGATGACAATATTCTAAAATTAAATTCTGAAATGACATTATTATTTGGAGAACTTCATACAGATAAATGGTTAGATAATAAACCTGATCTGATAGCATCGTCAAGGTAAAGAACAAAATGTCATCTTTTATTGTTAATTCAATTTTTTGTTTTTGGTTTTTTTTGCTAGTTTACATTTGTAGTATTCTATGATAGTTTAGACAAACTGGGAACTGGTATGCCGTCAGAAGAATTAGGATATATAATATTTACCAGCATACGTGGTGATCTTTCTAATCAAGAAAACATGTACATTTTATTAAGAGTACTATGGTTAAAAGCTACTATCTTTTTATGTCAAGGTGATACTGAAATTGTTATTGGAACATTAGAATTGGTAAGTAATTAAATATATTAATAAAAGTACATGAAATTTGTAATAAATATTATTATTTGTTTATAGTTGTTGGATCAATTAAAAAGATTGGAGAGTCAAAATCACAATATATGCCTTCTATTACCCAATTGTAAATTGAATTCCCAAATCAGTCTTAAAATAGTTGAGAAAAAATTAAAATCCATACAAAGGTATTTATATGAAATTATGTTACATTATTTATAAAAACATTATTTATAAATATTAATTTAATAACAGGAGTCAAAAACTTGGTGAGATACAACATTTGTACGATGAAAAGAAATATGCAGAATTGTCTTGCGTTTTACAAGATACATTTAAATTTGCAAGACAAAAACATAAATTATTATCTGCCAATCAAAATATAATTGAAAGAGATAAACAATTAGCTATCTTATTGGATAGTTTATGGCAATTACAACATTATGAGGTTGTATTATCAAATAATTTGTTCAAATGTATCAAATATTTGTTTTCTAATATTAATAATAATAATAATAATATTTCAGGACTGTTATGTATGGGCAGAAGCTTGTTTGAACGAATCTTGGCAAAATTATTTGAATGCTTGTGAAGATGCAGAACAAAAAAAATGGACACGTTCTGTCGTCAATTGTCTTGAAAAATTAGAAGCTTGTACAAAAGAAATAAGTGTATTTGCTGGTAAGAAAATATTTCAATATATTAATTATATTTTTACAATTGTTGTATTTTTTTTTTTTTATTTATTTGAAATATTATCATTTCAGTAAAATATTTACCAGAATCTTGCCTTTCAAGATTAGTGCAAAATTTAGTTCACATAGTTTGTCATCAATTGGATATACCAGAAAATGCATTAGAGATGCCACTTGAAACCGTCTTACCTTGGATTTTATTACATTATATTTTACAATAGTAAGTTAATATCATGAAAATAAATATTATTGATTATTACTATATAAATATATTTTTAATTTAATAGCGAGGAAGATAAAGAGAGAGCAAAGTCTGAATCGTCTTACAAAAATAAAGCACATAATTCACATAATTCAGAATCAGATGACGAAGACGATGGTATTCCACCTTCCATAATGATTCTATTTATTGCTCATGATTTTATTGGGAAACACTCATGGTGTTGTTTCCATGACGCAAAACTTTTATTCTTTACGATGAATTTAATAATACCCAAATTGGAAACTCCACAATTTGCTACTATCAAAAATAAATTAACTAAATATTTAGAACAAATTTTCTATTGTTTGTATGGTCATCCAAATAGATTGAATAAATCAAAACCTAAACATCTGGAGGAACATGGAGCACCACAAATGGAATTAACATGGGAAGGAGCACAATTATTATTCGATTTTTATAAACCAAAACAAATGCCAATATTAGAATCACCTAGGCTTGCTGCTATAAGCATAGATACTGAATTGTTGTTTAAAAAGATAACTAGATTAGTTCCACAAGATAGTGATCCTAATCAAATATTCGAAGAAATGAAAGATTACGTTATGGGTGAAAAAGAAACAATGCCGTGTGTCAAGAAACCATTACCACATTCTATTTCTAGTATTTATTATCTATTAGGTGA